ATTCATGTCACCCATAACATAATTTTTTTTTACTTCTCATTTTGAATAATAGAGCTGATTTAAGCAAGTTTACTAAGGTATTCTTCTTCATTATGATGACATTCATGCGGGGCATAGACATTTAAAATAATAAATTCTTTGTCATGCTGTTTCATGTGTATTGCAATGCACCAGTCCACACCTAAGTTAATGACATTTATCACCGAGTCTAGGCTTTTTTTCCCATAATATGGCCACTCCTCCAGGTACCCTTCCTCTCCTGATTCCCAAACTGAGATCTGTAGAAGATTCTCCAGCACCCAGGAAATTGTCATTAATAGAGTTTAGTCCTTTTAAATCCTGTTTAGCTTAAAAAGTTTCCTGCAAGCACAAAATGTCACAGTGCAGCAACAACTGGTCGACAACCAAACAGTGAGCTTTATCATCTGCGCTCTGCCCTAAGCGCAGGCCACGACAGTTGTAAGAGATGACTTTAATGTCCATAACATTTATGTCTTTGTGCTCATGCCAGCAATAGGTGCGGATATATTCGTGGCAGCTTTTGCACCGATGATCGTTTTGCATGGCTCAAAAAACCTTCTCACATTAGTCGCCTCAGGCCAAAGCTCTGGCTTGTACATGACGGCTACTTCACTACATTCGGCAGAAACCTTAAATGAGGCATACCTGGTGTTGACAGTAGTGATTCTCTGGCATGACACATTCTGTCCAAGTTTGGCTTTCAGATAACCGCATAATGTTTCCGCTTCCAAGTCAGGTGAGAATTTAGAGGCAAAAACACTCACCAGTTTTGTTTTTACCATTTTGATGTTCCCGGCGGCTCCAGTACCAACAATAGTGTGTCCAGCTTTCCTGCGTCCCGGTGAAAGGCCAGAGCGAGTTGTCGTCTTCGCAACAGAAGGTCCTTTGGGCTGTCGATGGTGCCGTTTCACGACCTGGCTCTACTTGGGAGATCCCGGAGATGAAATATTTTCTCCGGTGCACAACGCTGGAGTATCTCCCTTTACAGTTGAGAGAGAATCCCCCCCAGACCTTGGAGACTGTGTTCCATATCCAGGGCGGCGTTCAGATCGCTGTCCTCAGCACCCTTCTCCTTCACTGATACAGACCGGCTTCCGCATCCTTGACAGGCGCGTTGTTCTAGGGCAACCACCCGGCTTCGCAGGTCCGCCGTAACATCGTTAAGACCTCCACTGACTTCAGTCTGAACTTGAAGTGTTTGCTTCATGGCAGATACTGCACCGTGGAGCTGTTCCATTTTACGCAGCAAGCCGCAGATATCCATGTTGGAAAAAGTCACAGGAGGCAGCTCGTCCAGGTAATGGGACACAAATCTGGGAAAGTTGTCCCCGCATTCGCTTAGCACTTTAAGGCAGGCTTTCACATTGTTGATATCCTTTCGTGCTCCTTTATACAAGATGCTATGCTGTGAGGAAGTGAAAAGCTCAAACAGCGTCTTCTTTGATGTTTCTATCCAGTCTGAGTCAAAAGTGTTGACAGCCAGCAAAACAATCTCATCCTGGCTTAAAGTTTTTAGTTTGATAGAAAGAAAGTGTAGAAATTCATCCTCTACGATGATTTTATCCTCAGCCCTTTTATTTATGTACAGTTTTAAGCGAGCTCTAGAAAACGCCGGAGATCCTGAGGAGCGAGCTACAGCCACGTCAACCTCGTCAGCCATCTTTTTTATTGAGAAGGTATACATCCTTGCTGACTGTTGCTTTGAGCCACGGTTCTGATTTTACAGACATTTCCCACAATGCTTTGTGTCTGCTTACGTAGCATGAAGGCAATGTTTAGAACTCCCTTTCCCAGCTAAAACACTTAATATTTGTAATCCATACTAAAATTTTGTATGTATTGATTTACTTTACTTTACAATTGGAGCTCCTTTTAAAAAAAGTTTAAACATTGGAGTTCAATACTTGACGTAATTGGTTAAAGCAATCGGCCAACGGGGTTAGAGACGCAGAAATGATTTAAAGATGTTATGCTGATGAAGACTGACATCTAGTGGTCAACTGGAGCAACTACATGGAAAACTTTCATTTCCCATCACAAATCAAATCCGTCATGTGCCCAGAATGCATCGCTTCAGTTTTTCAATAAACAGTTTTAATATTACTTTGATGCTTTTTTAATGAAAAATCTACAATAAACAAAAGAAAAAGACAAAAAAGCAGCCGAACTAGCAATCCTCAACAACTTTTTAATTTTTACACCAGGAGTAAAGGTCTGTTTCAGGAAATCACATCCCCAGCAATCGGAGGTTGTAGAATTAAGCTGTACAAGGGTTCATACACCGCTAGTTGGCAGTGTTGTGCATATATTGTATATGAATTTTTGTCAGCTAGTAAGTGTCAAATTGAACTTGCACTTTAATATTGGCTTCCGCTAGTTTTTCTATGGCATAAGTGTTTTTGAGGTTGTAGACCTAAATATTTTCATAAGCACTTTAGAAATTGTGGAGCTAACTTTTGGATTAGCGCTGCCCACCACTGGAGACAATTAAAATAAATATTTTACCAAGACCTCTATATATGTTTCAATCCTTGCAGTGACGGTTCCACAGAAACGTTTTCAGACTGGGATAAATTAATACCAGGAATATATAGAAAGGAAAGAAACCCAGGATTAAATATAAAATGTTGCAGCTTTCAAAGGAGAAAAGAAGTCTGGCCTTACCCCTAACACACTACTTGTGGATACACTCCACTCTGCTGCGCTGCCCAGCTCATTTGTTTGCTCCCCAGTTTATACAGCATCTGCTCTGCTCCAGTGTGAGGCACAGACGGGGTATGAGAAGTGTGCAGGAAATGTGAGATTGTGTGATAAATCCAGTAATAAATGTGCAAGTCAGAGCAAAATAATTAATTTTGTGGATACAAAACATTTTCACAGCATTTGTGTACAAATATACCAATGTATTTATTATTATAGCTGGGATTTTGACAAAATTAGTCTGCCTTTGTTGAATTATTTTCCAAATACAGATGTTATGCTTGTTCCCTGTCCTGTTGGTGTGAAGTGATCTTTGTAGACTGACTCCGGAGCAGCTCCTGCATCCGGTAAAAATAGGATTGAATCTAATTTTGGTGGATAGACGTCCGCTCACCACCTCCCTGCCATGCGGAGCCAATGTTTTCATTGATTGTAACTGTTGAGTGGGCAGATAAAGGCATCACAGCAATGTGTAAAATAGTCAAAAAAGGTCAGTTTTAATAACTTAAAGACAAAATTTGGACTAGATAATCAGAATCAATATCAATATTTACAGGTGAGAGATTATCATTAGAAAGAAACAAACGTATCATCTTCATCATCACTTTATGAATGCTCCAGCGTTTTGGAGAGAATTCAATTAGAAAAATATGGTCAGATTTTTTTATAACTCCAAAGATCAGGAAAGGATGGTGCCTAATCCACATCCCTGAGGTCACATAAATGTGGACCACAGGCAATCGTGTTTCCACCCAGTTGTAGAGAGAATTTTTATCGAACTTTTCAAAATTTGCAAAAAATTAAATCAATAAAAATTTGAATCTAGACTGTTTCCATCTAGTTTCCCTCTCGACTGTTTGATGCGAATAAACGAGGCTAYGCAACACGTGATTACGTCAGACGAGGCTACGCAACGCGTGATTACGTCAGACGAGGCTACGCAACGCGTGATTACGTCAGACGAGGCTACGCAACGCGTGATTACGTCAGACGAGGCTACGCAACGCGTGATTACGTCAGACGAGGCTACGCAACACGTGATTCAGCTAGTACAGGCTATGTTTAATGCTGCCAGAAGACGTAAGGAAATAAACGCAATGTTAAACTACACAGCGGAAAGGCACGTGTAACTACGCCGGGACGAGGCACTAAAGTGGAAACAGCTGAATGTCACGTGAGGTAAATATGCGCTACTTCAGAATTTATTCGGCAAACATGTTTCCATCTCCCGTTTTGAGCATTAACTACTTTGCGAATCATCCAAAAACCACCTCAAGCGAGCGTAAAAACTTTTTAGCGAATTGAGGATTTTTTTTCGAATTTTGCTGTTTCCATCTGACATTTTTTTGCATTTTTAATGACACACTTCTAAATGCACATCAAAAAGCCTTGATGGAAACAAGGTTTGGTCCTGTCAAAAGCTAAATCAAATCAAATCAAATCAGATCAGATCAGCTTTATTTATAAAGCCTTTTAAAACAGCTACCACTGAAACAAAGTGCTGTACATAGGGGTCAAACAATAAAACTAACCAACAATAAAAACAACAAAAGCAACTAAAAAGCCATCACAAGCTTATGATATAAAGAGGAACCTCTGAGTTTGTATTTTTGATGAAAAACTCACCTAAACTGAGATTGTGAGAAAGCAGATTTATTGACAAGTGGGAAAAATGGTGTGAAGGCAAAGAAAACACCACAACAATGTAAAAGGAATTTATGTCCCGTGTTTGGACTCCAGATTGTGTGTTTTTGAGAAGAAGTAGAAGCTGATGTTGAGCATGGCACAAGTATTTTGTTGATTTTAGGAAGAAATTTCTTGCTTCAACAGGAAGAATTCAATACAATGAATAATAACATCAAAATGTGTCTTGCTCCAGGTCTCAGGTAACCATATGTTCTGTTATTTTATTCACCAATGTAACATTTTTTAACTTTGACTTAAAACAGCGTCTGAAACCTTGAACCCACACATCCCGTCCAAAGATCACATGAGTTCTAAAACCAACTGCCCTGTGATGCAAAAAGATGTAAATGTGAAAAGAATTCAGTTAAACACACACAGACACAAAGAAGTCTGGCAGCAGTTGTAGGGATGGGATGAAAGTGTGGATGGCCTCACGTTCAACACTAGGGGAAGCCAAAAGCAGCATGTTGTAAACTGAGACATCTGTGAGTAAGTAGGAAAACAGGCAAGCACCATTTCCTCTGCTGCGCACACATGCAGACAAACCCAAACACACTCAGATGGTCCACAGGGAACAACCATCATCCACTTACTCGAGAAAGCTGGTGATGTAGTCCTTACTGCACGCGGACCAGGAGAAAGGGTTGGTGTTGGCTGTGATGTGAGCAGCCATCAGTTTGGCTGTTTCATGTCCTTTGGTGCCACAGGAATTCCCGATCCCATCGTGGTTCATCCCAAAACTGAAACACACAAATACAGACCTGAACTAGAACTGTGAAGCAGTTACGACCGGGGTCCAAGCCTGTGTATACATGTCCACCTTGGCCCATGTCGTCCTGAGCACACTGTCGATGTGTGCATCACAGAGTTGTAACATGAGGAGTTTGCATAAGGTCTACTTGAGAACCTAATATCTTAAATAAATTTAGGTCTCAGAAAAATGTCACTCCATATCCAAATGTCCTCTGTTGCCTTCTGTTCTGTCTTTTTACTAGGAGCTCCATTATTAACATTCATAAATCATTACATCAACTGTGCCTCCTCTGGAAATGTCCAAACCATCTAACATTACCTCCTAGTTGTTCATCTGTAAAATTTTATTATAATTACTGAGACTTTTCTTTCTCTACTCCATCTTAGCTGAGACTCTTTCTTCACCTTTTTACCAAACTTCCAATTTTCCTGGATAGACTACTTGTAGCCTAACTGTTCAAGGTGCCTGTATTTTATTAACTCTAAATTTAAATGAATAGTTGAACCTAAGTACTTGAGGTCCTATAACTGTGCCCTGTGCTTCTTGCAATCTCTCTGTTCCACCTGCCCCCTCCCATTCAGACACATGTACTCCATCTTACGACAGCTGAATTTCATTTCTCTTCTTAAACATCTCTGCAGTCCCTGCACACACTACTGCATCCTGGTCTCATGGCTCATCTGAATCACTCTAAACTTTATCAGATTCAAAATGAGTAAAAAGCAGAGTAAAAAAAAAGAAAAATTATGTTCATATATACATATGTAAACACACACACACACACACACACACACACACACACACACACACACACACA